ATCTTGTCAGTCTTGTTAACCCCCTGTACTTCCACTATCTAAAGTACTGCTAGGGGCATAGTGAAAGCTCAATAAATGGATGATTAATATGAACATGTCAGGTGGTCCCCCATTATCTCAAGTTCAATGAGACACAAAGTTATTTTGTGACTGGTGCCGTGCAGGCTTCAGACCATAGTTGCTGTGACCTCTTCTCTTCTGCCTTTTTTATTTCAGTTGGTCAACAAATTCCAAAAACAAATCCCACCTGGTCTCTGAAGCCTGAAGGTGAAGGGCCAAGACAGAAGCATCAGCAGTTCTCCAGGCACTGTGTTCACTGCATTACACACACCATTTACATACACCAGTAACAAACACTAGAGACAACTGTCTGCATTTCAGAGACAAGAAGACCAAGGCATGAAGGGACAAAATAGCTCACCTAGGTGGAGCTCAACATGGTTAGCTATGTTATGTCAGAGCTCACCTAGGTAGCTTTACCTCTCAGTAAGCTTTTTCTCAACCTGATGGTTTTCTTTAAATGCTGACCAGATAGTGACCATGAAGCAAAGAAGAATGTGTCTACCCAGTATGGCCCACAGGACAGGTGCACTTCAGACTCAATATAAGCACCAAATGGTGCTATTACAGAACATTTAGAAAGTGGAAAGGGCCACTCTTCATGGGCTGCATACAATGTGGAAAACCATATGGCAAAGATAATCTTAAGGGAACTCTTACAAAGGGTCATGATAGACTTAGACTAGACTTATAAAAAGCCTTTTCAAACTCTTAAGATTCTATTTCCATCTACAATAAACTCTAAACTTCTCTATCACTAATGGTCTTTACCGTATAATTCAGTATTTAACTATGTAAACATTTGTGTTCAACTCTTTGTTTCGGATATATAGTCAGCTCTTCATGGGCATTATTAGCCAAGGGCTGAAGTTACTTTCTATCCCCTAGAACAGCAGTCCCCAATCTTTTTGGGACTGGTTTTATGAAAGACAGGTTTTCCACAGACTGAGAGGAGAGCAGTGGTTTTGGGATGATTTTAGAGCATTACATTTATTGTGTACTTTATTTTTATTATTACATTGTAATATATAATTAAATAATTATACAACTAACCATAATGCAGTATTTGCAGCCATGCCCCAGTGCTAGCATCACAGTCTCAGTTCCACCTCATACTATAAGGCATTAGGTTCTCATAAGTTGTGTGCAACTTAGATTCCTTGCATATGCAGTTCCCAAAAGGGATTGTACTCCTATAAGAATCTAATGACACCACTGACCTAACAGGAAGCAGAGCTCAGCGGTAACATGAGCAATGGGGAGTGGCTGTAAATACAGATGAAACTTCATGGGCTTGTCTGCCACTCACCTCCTGCTGTGTGGCCCAGTTCTTAACAGGGGTTGGGAACCCTTGTCCTAGAGGACCCAGCACAGTTCTGAGACTATAGTAGTGACTTAAAAATGACTAAACAGATCTCGGATTTCAATGGGGTTGTCAAGGTAGATTCTCATTGGTGCCCAGAGTGGGTATGTGTGGGGATATAGATCAGTTTATATTTATCAGTTATTAAACAAGCTGAGTGAGCTTGTTTAATTAAGGTTGAGGAGCGAGGAGTCTTAGGTGCTAAAACCTGGGGTACTGGTTTTGATAAAGATAAGATACTTTGTTTCTGATATTTACTAAGAAGAATAAACTACACTTGTTTTGGGAGTGATGATTTTAGCTTGTTGCTATGTCAGTACAATTTCCAACAAGACCAACTGAATACTTAAGATATTTAATAAAAACTTTTTAACCTTTTAAGATCATGCATGTTTATTATTTGATAAAAAATTATACTTAAGGCACAGCTGTGGTGGCACAGGCAGTAGGATGCTGCTGTACAGTGCTGGAGCCACATGCAAGGTCTGGATCCTGGGCTGACCTGAGTATGTCGAATGTGTTCATGTGCACCTGTGATTCTGGCTGGCTGGAAGGTGTGGGGAAGATTCTGGCATGGCAAGATTCTGTCAAGAAGACCCGACTCTCTAATATGTATTTATATTTACTTTAAAGAAATAAAAATTATGTTCAATTAAAAGTCCCACATCACTCCTTCCATTGCTCTGTTAAAGTTTATGCTATTTTTTGTTTGTTTGCTTATCCCCCCCCCCATTTTTTAAATAAAACTGATGAAGCTGTAAGAGAAGTGATTACCAAGGGAAGCTAGGCTAATCAGAAGGTTTTTACCCCTGGATTAAAAGCCATCTGGAAAACGAGAACTAGCAAGGCAAAGTCCTTAGTACAAGTAAAAGGTCAGCTAACCCCTGGAGGACTTCTTTCAGTTTCTTATAGAGATGTGTAAGTCAAAGCTCCGCTAAGACTAATTCTGTCAATGAATATTATCCCTATCATATTAACACCTTGAAAAATGCTACAGCACAGACTTACTGAGGTCTGTTGTTTACAAGAGTTTACCAATCAGCTGGTTTTCATTTTCAAAAGCACTGAGTTGTCTATGCACATACATGTACTCACACAGAGTACAAATTTAAGCCTGGGTAATATCAACCCATCAATAGTAGAAAATCTGTCCCTTGTCACTTCTCATACCTTAGATTCATTTATCTATATATTCAACCATTATCAACTATCTATTAAGTGTCTGCTATGAGAAAGGTTTTATCAGACTTTATAGAGACTATAAAGGCACAGTCTTTATGCTTAAAAATCTTACAGGCACAGAAACAACTACTCGTCTGTAACTCTTTGCACAATACTCTGATAGAATGAAGACACATGATTTGGGATATCTGAAGCTTGTAAACTGATCTAGAATGTGGATAGCTTCGTAAGGTGCATTCCACTGTCAACATTTTATAAGAGTATCAAACTTCACTCTGTAATAGGTCAAGTAAGGTGGACTATAAATAAGGCTACAGCTACTCCAGAATGACTCAGGAGTGTATTGGGGGAAACGGTTAAGACCAAGAAAAAATGACAAATAGTTTAAATACAGAGAATTTGATTTTCAGTGACAGGCTATATAAAAACATCAGAACCTCAGGATATTTTTAAAACTACTCAAAAGACATAGACTTATAGGTGTCAAAGTCACTTTAATGGATAGAATAAGTTCTTTCTTAAAAATATTGAAGGCCAAAATAAGCCTGCTTCTGTCAACTGAACTAAAATTCCTTTTGATAAAAGAGTATCTTAGTCTGAAGTAGTTTCACTGGCAGAAGGACAACTAAGGCAGACTTTATTTGACCAAACAAACTAACATTTGGTATACTTAGTTTGTAAATGAATAGTTAAACAAGAATATAGTGTACTGTTATCTTCAAATCAATCAGTTAAAAAGAAGGTATCACACTATAGTTATTTGTATACAAAGGTGAGAGTCAAGGTTGAAAAGTAGAAGTGATACATCTAGTATCTATGAAAAGAGTAACAGCCAATGTTCACAATCACTGGAGCATTTCCTGCGTGCCTGGCACATGCTAACTGCTCAACAGTCAGGGTGGTCTAGAAGTCAGTTAAGAGCATGGACTCTGGAGCCAAGACGTAGGGTTCAAAAACCAGTTCTGCCACCAACTGCATGATCGTGGGCAAGCTATTAAATTCTCCGTGCCTCTGTTTCCTCCTACGTAAAATGGGGATTCTAAGGGTACCTACTTTTCAGGGTTCTGTGAGAATTAAATGAGTGGCACACACAAAGCACTGAAACACTGGCACACAGTGCTAAGTGTGAGCTATTGTCATTATTAAAACTAAGCAGCGGGCAGAGGCAAGATTCAAACCCTGGGACAAGTTTTCCCCTCTTAAATGCTATGCATACTAACGAAAAGAGCTCCTACTGATACTGAGTTAGATAATAGTGCTATATGAATGTGGTTTTTTTTTTAAAAGATAAACCAAGCCAAGCCACACAGGAATGAAAACCGAGCAGTCCTCATCAGTGGAAAGAATGCAGGTCACCAGTGGGATCAGATGAGAAATGCGCTGTGGGCTGCTGTCAGGTGGAAGCCTAGCTCGGGGGTCAGGAGACCCAGACCCTAATGCCAGCTCAGCAATGATAACCGTGGGCCCTTGAATGGTCACTGAATATGCAGAGGCTCAGCTTCTGCTAAATAAAGGGGCGGATGACTCTCAGGTACCTTCTACTGCTCATGTCTTTGATACCATGACTCAACAGAACATAAGATAGGTTAAATATATACCCTTGGGCCAGCCCTGTAGCCTAGTAGTTAAGGGAGCTAGATCTCAGATGACCAACTGCATTTCAAATCCTGGCCCCAGTGGTTTGAAAAACAAGCTGGGCATGTGCACGTGTGGCCAAAATCCTCACAGGATGGAAAAAGTGAGATGGGACTGTGGCATGAGCACACCCAACTTTAAGATACTTTCTCCCTTTCTTTCCCTTTCTCTTTTCCTCTGATGAGTCGCATGCTCTCTGGCAATTATGAAAAAAAAAAAAATGCACCTTTTGTTTTTTAAAAAAAGGTACTGTTACTTATTTTTTTCTTTAACTGTCAGAGGGTATATGTACTCACCGGAGAGAAAGGGGAAGAAAGCAACCCCTCCATGAGGCGTGGTCACACTGTAATCATTTTCCTCCCATTTCTCCATCCCATCAGGATTTGTAGCATGCACACACACTTGCAGCATGTCTCTTTAAGCCACTGGGACCAGGATGTGAACCATAGTCTACCTCATGGGACATGGCTCCCAACACATTGTGCTTAACCACTGCATGATGCAGCCAGCCCTATTTTGGGGCATACCAATTTCAGGTGAATGGAATAAATAGCATAGAGAAGCAATTCTATCTATATTTTAAAATGCCATTAAAACATAAACAAGTTTATCTGAGAAATAAATCAGGAATAATTTTGATAAGGGAATCATGTTTTAAAGATTACATTTTTTAACAGAGGAAAGCTATAAAATATTTCTTATATATGTGGTTAATAATTTAGAATATTCTATAAAAAAGTTGAGAAATGATACGATTTACCTTTTTGCCCATGACGACTGCTGAATTTGTCTCCAATCTCCGGACGCCTTGTCTGCCTCAGCAGCATTTTGATCAGAAAAGCATCTTCAGCATTTGAAGATATCATCACTTTTTCAATATATGAATCTGTTGCCCCTTTGTAGCTAATTTAAGAGAAAATCACTAAATCAGAGTTTTTGAACTGCCTTTTGCAAACTTATCACTCACTTATCACACTTTATTGAATGCCCACCACAGAATATTTGATGTTTTCATCTTGGGCTCTCAAAAGTGACTCCTCCCCTCCGCTTTTTTTTTTTTTTAAAGGTTTTTGCTATAGGGTATGTGTGTTCACCAGAGGGAGACAGAGAGAGAAAGAGATAGAGACAGTGAAAGGGAAACTGAGAAACAACTCCCAGGGGGATGGCCATGCAATCTCTTTCCC